TGACATTGTGTTCGATGTCTGCAGGGAGGGGAATAGGTTTGCGCTTGAAGAGATTTACCGGAGAGAGTTGGGTAGTAGAGTGAGGTGTAAAGTTGTAAGCGCGGGTGGCTTCTTCAAGGTGGAGATCCCAATTGTGAGGTGTGGGTGTGATTTTGGAGAGAATTTGATTGAGAGTTTTTGTAGCGCGTTCGCAGCAACCATTACCTTCAGGGTGTGATGGCTGGGCTATGTGAACTTCAATTTGATTTGCACGGATGAAGCGCTTGTATGCATTTGAGAAGAAGACTGCGGCTCTGTCGGAGTGGATGAGGTCACAGGTTCCAATCTGGGAAAAGACATCAGTTAGGAAGGAACAGAGAGTGTTAGCGTCAGCGTTTTTTACTGGTTGTGTGATGATGAGCTTAGAGTAATGATCTATTGCTACTAGTGTGTATCTGTGACGGCAAGGTGTGAGGGGTAGGGGTCCCCCAAAAGTCAATGGCCAGACGCTGGTGTCTTTCTGTTGTGGGAATGGGAGAGATTTTTGTCCCCGTATGTTTAGTATTAAAATTGTGGGCAAAGCAGAGAGAGCATTGCTTGACAAATTTCCAAGTAGATTGCCTGAGATGAGGCCATGAGAATCTTTCTTTGAGAACAGAATAGAGAGTTTTCCAGTCAGAGTGGCCAAGCTGTTCGTGATATTTTTGGAGAATTTTGAGTTGTTTGGGTTTGGTAGGAACTGTTTTGAGCGCGTTGAGGGTTATGCAACTGAGAGCATCGGGGCCAGCAAGGCAGTTGCCGGGGCAGTATTGGAAGGTATAATTAAAATACTCAAGTTTGAGGAGAAGGTGGAGGAGACGAGAGTCTTTGAGGTCCCCAAGGAGAGCTTTATGGTCTGTGAATATGGTGAAGGGGCGGTATTCAAGATAATGGCAGAATTTTTTGGTAGCGGCCCATACTGCGGCAAGGAGCTTGCGTTGTGTGTTGGAGTAGCGAGTTTCCGGGTCAGAGAGGACACGGCTTGCGTAAGCAATGATATGTGCATTGTTATGGGGGTCCCTTTGAATGAGGATAGCGCCAAGGGATGTGGCGGAAGCGTCGCAGTGAATTTCGGTGGGTGCGTCTGGGTCAAATCTCTCAAGGCGAGCTGCCTGAGCAATAGTCTTTTAGATCATGGAAGCATTGTGTCGCCTTGGGCGTCCAGTTAAGTTTAACGGCGGGTTTAGCTGGGATTGTGTTTCGGAGGATTTTCTCGTGCTTGGCAAAATTAGTTGGGACGTGCTCGCGGAGGTAGGTAGTTAGACCAATAAATCGTTGGAGCTGGCGTGTGGTTTGAGGTTGGGGGAAGTTTTTGATAGCTTCCAGGTGAGATTCGGCTGGGCGTGTGCCAGTTTGATCGATTATATAACAGAGGAAATTGATTGTTTTGGCGAGAAAGCCAGATTTAGTGATATCTATGACTGCTCCCACGTTGGAGAGGGTTGTGAGGACTTGGGCTAGATTTTTGGTAACTGCTTGGAATGTGGGGCGAAAGATGATAATGTCATCAAAGTACACGAGACACTTATTGTACAGGTGGTCCCTGAGGATGGTTTCCATTGTGCGTTGGAAAATGGTGGGACCGGTTTTAAGACTGTAAGGGAGAACCGTGTATTGGAGTTGGCCAAAAGGCGTTGTAAATGCCGTTTTTTGTCTGTCGGCAAGTGCAAGGGGGATGTGATGAAACCCTGAGTGTAGGTCCAGTGTGCAAAAATATGCGTTTTGGCGACCAAGTGAGTCGAGGAGGTCGTGAATGACCGGCATGGGGTAATTGTCAGGTTTGAGCTGTTTGTTTATTTTGCGATAATCTTCTACAAGATGCCAGCATTTCATGGCGGGTGCTGTGGGATCTGAGCAGTGTTTAGGTGTGAGAAAGGCGGGTGAGCTATATGGAGAATTTGCGGGTTCGAGAATGCCCGTTAACTTGTAATTTTTGAGAATTTCTTGCATTGGGTTTTGTCTGTCAAGAGATTGACGGAAGTGTTTGGCGATAGGTGGTGAATCTGAGACTGTAGGTAAGTACGCGACATACTGAGGGGAGAGGCCGTGTTGGCCGCTCCATTGGAAAATATTTTCGTGAAACTGTGTGAGTAATGCGGTCATGATAGCGCGATTGGGTGCGGACCCGTCGACGTAAGTAATATTCTTGCCAATGGCACATGTAGGAGCTTTGTTGACAGGTTGAATAGAGCAAAACCCGGAGAAAATGAGCAAGCCATTGAGCGTGATAGCAAGGGGCAGCACACTGAGGGTGTTGCATCTGAGAATTATGGGGTAGAATGCCTTGGGGAGGACAAGAAAAGTCGCGGGATAGGAGTGATTTCAAAAGGTAAAATTTGTACTTACCGATTGAGTGAGAGGCAGCGAGATATTGGTTACTGCCACTGCAATGGACGCCACTACGGGTATTGTAGGGAGCTGGAGCAACTGGGCGACCTCTGCCGCGATGAACGATTTGGAAGCGCCCATGTTGATGAGGGTGGTGCTTTTCTGGTGCTTGATAGAGATGAGTAGGGTAATCTGGTCCTGGGCGGCTTGCGGGGTAGGCACGGTACAGAGAACCGCCGTCACTGCCCGCGTGTCCTGTTTCCCTGCGCCATGCAATTGGCGGCCACGTGATCTGCTTTACCACAAATAATGCATGATTGTTTTTTAGAGGAAGGAGGTTTTTCACTTGCCGTTGTGTCCGGCCGTTGCAGGCGACACTGCTCGGTGGTGTGGGATACGTACTTGTGGTGTTTTTCGCAGAAATGAGTGGATGGGGGTTGTCCCGTGTGAATGGAACACTCCTCTGAAGTATGCGCCGCCATCCAATTGTGATGAATGCAGAAATGCATGCAACGGTCTGTGGATCCTAAGGATGAGGATGCTCCGGAGGCGCTAAATGGATGTTGTGCATTTGGCATGCGGATAGGCTGGTTGGCCGTCGGTCCGCAATTGATGATGACCCAAGCGTGGGGGTGGGTTAGGCAGAATTCGTCTGCGTAGGTGCAGAATTGTTTCCAGGTGATGTTAGGTTCTGCAAGTGCGCGGCCTTGCATATCGGATGCGATGGCCCCTTGGATTGTTGTAAGAAATTGGCCAATGAGGGCATGCATGATGAGCGCCTCTTGAGCGGGGAGATTCCCAGGTGGAGCAGGTAGGTATTTGAGGTACGCTTCGAGGAGGCGACATCCGTAGTTTACGTATGTTTTGTTGGCGTGAGGTACCAGAGATTGGAAACGTTGGAGATAGTCAAATTGCGACTTGTTAAATTGGGCCCTGAGACTGGCTGCGAGATTGTGAAACGTAGTTTGGCCCTGTTTGTAGAGCAGGGTAGCAGCCTTGGAGACGTCAGGCTGTGTCATGCTGAGAAGGCATGATACGCGAGATTTTTCAGGAGTGTTTTCCATAGTAAAAACATGCAATGCGCGTCTGAGATATGCGTTGACCTCCTTGTCTTTGTGCTGACGGGGAAGGTCTACTGCAGGAGAGGCAGCATGGGAAGAGCAAGGTGGGGAAGGGGAAGAGGTGGGTGAAAAATTAAGGAACACCGTGTTTGGCAAAAAACCGCAAGCTTCAAGGACCGCGATATAGTCCGAGCAATTGAGGCCAGTGGTAGGCTTTGGGTTTTTTGCGTTTGGAAGTATTGGACAAAGGTTGCCTTGGTAAGGCGCGCCCAGGGAGAGTCTGGCGGGAGAGATTCCTCTTTTGTGTCTTCATGTTCATTGGCCATGTTTTTAGACTAGGGTTGGCTTTCTTTTGACAAGCCCCCAGTGAGAGATCCGCATGTTTGGATTGAAGGTACACAACTCTGTGAGGTATTTACAGAGGGTTTATTGTACACTAGACCCCATGTAGCAGGCAGGGCATACTCCCCAGGTACAGCGTACTCCCCTTGCAGGAGAATTAGTCCACATCCGCGGAGTGCAATTCAGCAGAGGCTCTTCTGCAGTTATCACTTACGCAGTGGTATCTTCCACAGAATTCAGAGGAAAGTTGATTCCACAGTGATTCTTGAAGCAGCATTTACTTTGGCAAAAATAATGATGAATTCTGTGGAAATCTATTTTCAGGGGAGGCCTTGGAGCTATCCCACTTGGGGGGAGCCATGCCCAAACCAATGCTCTCATAGAAGTTGCTAAGAACAACACACAGAATGCTATCAGCAGCATCCATGTGCGGCTCTCTAAAATGAATCCTCTTTACCCCAATTATAAGGTCAGGTTATGTTAGTTAATAATTAATGCAAAAGTACAGTAGAACTTTGGACAAGAAAGCGTTTCAGACCTTGAAAATGCTTTGTCATATACAAAAATTTGTCAAAAAGAAATTTAAGTAAGAATGTGGCAGTTGGGGCAGGGACTGAAGAAGACATTTCTCTGAAGCATGAACAAGATTTGTTACAACAAGATGGAATTGTCTCTCCTCTGAATTTTGTTGAAAGAACTACTGCATGTGTTCACCATGGAACTTCACTCCGCGAATTTGAATAGACCCGCCGAATGGCATAGCGCACACTGGAGTACACCCTGCCTAGGTAGGGTGTATTCCTGGAGTGCATCCTGCCTAGGCAGGGTGTACTCCTGGAGTACGATTTTGGGGGAGTACGCTGTGCCGCCCACAACGGTTCGACGGTCGAACCCTCTATCTTCAAGCAAAGAGGGTTGTTCCACAGAAAACACCATACCTCAGCACATTACTGCACTCCGCATGCAGTATGGTCTTCAGTGTAAGGGGGCACTTTCGAATACTGTACGGTGGTGTGTACTGTACTGTACAGTACAGTAATAAAAAGAGCTCTGCTGATGCATCAAAGACTGGTGACCAGAGCCGTCATGGACACTGCTTGAGATGACGGGGACCTCGCTTTTGTCGAATGTTCGCATGAAACCGGTCAGAAATTCTTTGTTACTTTGTGATGATTTGTGCGGTAGAAAGTGAATTTCGTTGAAGCGAAACAGCTGTGCATTGAGGTGTTCACCACGATTAATCATTATCCGTTCTGGTGTTTTGCAGGATTTTAAGATGCACTAATCAGACATGGACTCCGAAGGAAGAGATGTTGGTGTTTCGGAAAGTTTTGACGGCTCCAACGATACTGAAGCATGCAATCAATTGTCGGAAGATAATGCGCTGAATTTGCAGTGCGATGAGATTGAAACTACAGTATGTGATTGCCCTGTCATCGCTGGATTCTGTCATTGATGATTCCCATTTTTTCAGATCAAAGGTAATCCCTTCGCATATGACGAGTACATCAAATTAATTGGCATCCGAAGAAAATGTGGAGACAAAGTGAAGTGCCGAAATGCGAGGGATCGGATGTCGGAGCATTTTCCATTGACGGAAGGCAAGAAACATTTTAAAAGTCGAAACGCATCTGTTCGTTCCATGCTGACAGAAGATCGTTTATTTTTGTATGATTCGCAGAAATGTGGCTTTCCTGGCTTCACGATGAAATCGAATCTTGCAAATCGGAACATGGATTACTCGAGCATCAAATAATGGACTTATTTCAGCGTGCATTGAATGATTACATATGTGAGTTCTACGGGTTATTTTTATTATTGAATCATTTATTTGATGAATCCCTTGAGATCCGGAAGCAATTTTTTTGACCGTCAATTTCAAGGTTTCAGTCTTCACCTCTAATCAATTTTAAATTTCAAATGTGCGGAACTTTAATATCTGGAAAATATGGCCCACTCAGTTGGATAATCTCAATCTTACAGTGCATCTATGTGGATTCTGAATTCCGGAGTGCAGTATTCGAAATTTTTCCACATTTTATTGCAGCTGTGGCAATTTGGATCGAGTATGCAGAGTTTCTGGAGCGCAATGCTGATTATTCGCGGGTTTGGGAAATCATTGAAAAAGCTATCCGTGATTGTGGAGAACATTTATCCGAGGGGCACAAAATATGGCTGACTGCCATCGAATACATGGGAAAACATAGTGGATCAGAATTATGTGGTAGATCAATTTGTGTGGATGACGTGAAAGATATTGTTGCAAGAATGCTGGAAATCCCTCTCTTGATCCCTGAAAAAATTTGGGAAAAGTTGGAGACTGTAGCTTCCTCCGAAAGCTTCGATATCTGTAAGCACAAGGAACGCTTGGAGAAAGAACGTGCCAAGTATATCAACCAGTGTGAAGCGGAGCTCAGTGTAAGGCCTAATAGTTTTACTTTCGTGCATTCTTTGTAATACACTTCCGATTTCAGACCGCCGACGACAAGCTGAATGTGTACAGAAATTACTTGAAATTGGAGTTGGACTTCAAAGCTCCAAACTCACGAATTAGAACGCTTTACGAACGAGCAGTCCGTGATTGTTGTCTCGATGAAGCTTTATGGACCGAATATGTAACATGGATAAAGCAATCAGGTCAACAGCATCAGAACATTACCGTTGTCGATAGAGCGTTGCGCAACGTTCCGTGGTCTGGTGCAGTTTGGGTATCAAAGTTGTGTCTTCTGATGGAGGATGAAGGAACAAGTGAGGAAAGAAGAGGTTAGTTTGAATGCTGTTGAAAATGCAAGTTCGTCGGGTCAAAATGCAGATCAACTGCATATTTATCCATTATTTGTACTGTAAAGTAAAGTAGCTGTTGTAATTGGTTTGAATGAGAAATTCATCAAGTCCGTGATCAAATTGTACTGGACAGTCATAGTGCGAAGGGATAATTTTTACTAACTCGATTTTTCTTCAATTTCTCTAGACCATCTATATTCTATAATGTGTGTACTGATTCCCGAAGTACAGTACGTTCCTGAGCATTGTTCGCGGTTTTTATTTCTTTTCTTTTTGTAGGGTGTATGAGTAAGGCTGTGACAAGTGGAATTCGGTTTCCACATGAGTACATCAAACTTTGGATGATATATTTGAATGGCTTGCATCGAGACGTGAAAGAAGCTGAAAATGAAGAAGACGACGATGAAACTGCCTCGGGTCTAGTTGCAAGCAAGTTGGCTTTGTTTCGAGATGGCTGCAGAGAAGCTATAGAATTTCTTGCGTCTTGTAAGTTTGTCGCTTTTAAATTTCTTCTGTCTTAGCTGTGTAACTTCATATACAGTATTTGATTGTCTTAGTTGATGGTGTTACAAGCGAAGACTTGGATCATCTGTTCAAATACCAAGCTAGTGTTGAAGCCAATTATGGACATATGGACGTTGCACGATCCATTTGGGGAGAAATTCTTCATCCAAGATGTCAGCCGAAGCTCGCCGATTGGTTGGAATTGATCCATTTGGAGAGGTATTTTCTTGTAGACTCGTTTCGTCGCTGGAGTTAATCTTAAAATTTGATTTTTGTATTATTTATTTTGTGAAGGAATCATGGCGATCCGAAGCACGTACGGAAAACGTTTCACAAAGCGCTTACTCGTCTGTCAGAAAAAGATCTGCCTTTTTTATGCTCTGCATTTGAACGTTACACAATGGAAGTTGGAACTGTGGATAGTGTTGAAAAAATTGATGAAGTGATCCAAGAATTGTGAGTACTCAACTGTCATGTGTCTTCCGGGAACGAAACCATCAAAACAATTGGTCTTATTGATCGTTCACCAGTCGAAAATTGAGTTGAAAGCTTGAAAAAGTATGTATTTTTTGGTTTAATTTTTATTTCTGCTTTTTAGCAAGCTGAAGCACGAAGAATGGAAGAAGCAAGAATCCCTGAAAGAGTCAAAATTTTCAAAAAAATCTGGGAAGAATGAAAATAATAAGTCAGCGGGCAATTCAAGTGCATCGTCGCCGAAGAAGCAGAAAACGGAGTTGAAGAGAAAAGCTGAAGGCCATCCGTCGAGTGGGAGTTCTGCTTCCAAGTCTGCCAGGATCGATGAGGATGGTTTTCGAATACCTGCTCCGAAGAAAACTCCTGAACTTTCAAATTTGGAAGAACAGAGAAAGAGTGAAAGCTCAGAGAAGAAAGTGTTTATCAGCAACCTGGATTACAATATAACTGTGGAGGACATTATTCACTTTTTTGACGACGTCAAAACTGAGATTGAGAGCGTCGATCTCAAGAAAGACAAAGTCGGGAAGAGTCGCGGATTTGCCTATGTGTTGCTTCGTTCTGAAGAAACGGCAAAGCAACTTCTGGGGCGTGATCGATCAAACTTCAAAGGACGTCCAATTTTTATCTCGCCTTGCCAAGCCGAGCCGGAAAAGCGAAAACCAGTTTTCAAGTGAGTTTAACGTGAATTATTCCATGGTAGAAATACCGTGAGTAAATCCCTGTGCAGTGGGAAGTATTCAATCCATTTTGAGAATTTCTCCGGGTCCATAACGATGATGAGCTGCTCTTGTATTCGGAAACGTCTGCGCCACTTCAATTTTAATTAATAATTTAAATAGTAAGTATTTCAAGTGAAACTGAATTAAAGTCCTATCTTCTCGTGAGCATTGCCGCCCAATCAAACGAGGGCTTGATTGGATTCTAGACAGAATTTTTAAAATGAAAGACATACCTGCGTGAACCACCTTTAAATCTTCGCTGTCAAATTTATTGCACTTCCGTGTGCGGTTCCCCCGGAAAAAAGGCTCATCTGTGTATGCGCTGAGCCGGATTTTTGCTAGTGCAGTGTTTATTTCCTATATTTTCATGCAGTTGATTTTTTATCTGTGCATACATTTATTTTATTGTGAATTTTCCAGGTATCAAAGCGGGGGCGAAGAGCCGAATAAGCTATTTATTTCGCATTTGGCGTTAGAGGTCACGGAAGATCAGCTGCGCCAGGTCTACGAAAAATTCGGAAAAATCGTCAGCGTCAGAATTGTCACCTATAGGAATGGACATTCCAAAGGCATCGCATATGTCGAGTTTGACACCCCGGTAAGTTTTCTATTGCATGGAGTTCTCAAACTCATCACGTGGAATTCCACAAATTTCTGAGTGATTTGCAGTAAAGTATTTTCATATGTTCACGTCGTTACATCATCTTGTTTTACAGGCTGCCGCAAAACGTGGACTAATGGAAACGGACGGCAAAGAGATCTTGGGGAAGACCATCGAGGTTGCGATCAGTAATCCCCCTCGGAGGAAAGCATCAGAAGAGAAATTTGAAGGGTGTGTTGCACATTTGGTTTCTTTTTTCCTGAAATATCGTGTGATGATTACTGAATTGAAGTTTGAACTTCGTCGTGAAGAAATGTCCAGTGCTCTAGAATTTCTCTGATTTGCTTTGCTGTAGTACGTCGAAGCACTCGATTTTTTTCTGAATTCAAACGGAGCTACTTTCTTTCGCAGCGGGAAAAAGGAAGGAGAGTCCTCTGGCGATTTTGTGCTTCCACGGAAGAGTTTCCTGTGAGTTATTTCATTTTCTTCTGTGAGACATTAATTTAAATGATGGAAAAAGGCGTGCCGAGTTTTATGGGGAGGTTGTCAAACGCTGAAGCTCTAGAATTTCTCTGATATTTTTGTGAATTTTAATTGTAGTTTCGTGTTGTTTTGGCACATTCTTAAAACCTTTTCGTTCTTGTTTGACTTTTTGTTCGTGGTGTAGCGCAAAAAAGGACGGGGAATCTTCAAGCGGTCATGCATCTACGTTCGCTGTTCCGCGCAACAACATGCCGTGAGTAATCCTTTATTTGTGACATACTGTATTCTGTGTCAAATGATGGAGATAAGTACGCACCGAATTTTATGAGGATTGCAAACTCATTCATAGCTCTAGAATTTCTCTGAAATTACCATGGATTTGGCTGAAATCTTCAAGGAATGACATAAGGTATCCACTAATCTGATCAATGCATACTTATCCGTAGGCTGCAAGGAAGGAGACCTCAGAGAAGTTTCATTCCGCGATCTCTGCAAGGTGTCGCAACTACGAAGTCGGAAGTAAATGGTCAGCCAAAAGCCGCGATGTCAAATGCGGACTTCAGAACCATGTTGCTGCAAAAGAAGTAATCGATCAATGAGGTAAATTTCTTACAGTTGTGCGAAATGTGGGACGATTTTTTATGAAAATTTGTATACGATTGTTGAACACTCTTGAGGCAAGGTCCAGTTTTTTCCTTGAAATTTCAAGTCGAGTATCTTCTGTCAGAAATTATCATTTTTTTGCGATTAAACAATTCTGGTGTAATGCTGATGAAAAAATTTGATTACTCTAACCCGATTGCTTAATTATTTTTGTAATGGATTTATATTTTTCAGGTTCGTATTGCGGTCGAAAATTACTGAAGAGTGAAGCTGCGTTCGGAAAACAGAACATCTTTGGGGTCGACATGGTTTTGTTGTCTCGTTACGAAATTCTGCACACTGTGTTTGGTTGATGTTTATCTTTTGCGCGAGGTTGAAACTGTGGATCGAAATGTGAACTGATGTGAAAACCTGTTCCAGTTGACGGAAATTGTTCTGCTTCTTTCAGAAGGCAAGGAAAACGGTTTTTACTGGTATGAAACTTGTGCGTGTTTTAGTTGTCGGAAAGAATTGATGAAAGCCATGCCACCGATTCCGACGGTGCAGAAACGTGCTCTCGGCTCCTCTGAAAGGAGTCGTGATGCCGCTGGAGTGGACCCCCAGAGAAAGTATGTTAATTCCTTTCAAACATTGAAGTATTGTATTATAGATTTTGTTACTTGTTCTTTTCTTTGGTTAGATCCGATCTGGTTATTTCAGTGAAATACACAAACAATCTTCCAGACATACCATTCGACCCGAAGTTCCTCAAGTTTCCTTTCGGCACGAATCGGTGAGTGGCACGTTAGTGCTCGAAAGTTGTAAGTACAGTACAGTAGAACTGTTCATTCGGTTTACAGTATTTTACAAACAATATTTACATGCAGTATTTTATGCAGTTCGGTTAGATCCCGTAAAAATTTACATGCAGCATTTCACGAACATTCCCAAACATCTCACTATGAATAAGACGTTTCCCAGATGTACTCGTTGACGTTTCCTCAAAAAGATGTACAGTATATTTGCTTTTCTCTCGTTCTGATTTTGTATCGGGCACCTCGTCAGTTTGCTGATTTTTTAATTTTGCTTTTTAAGAATATTTTTGGTGGATTGAGTAGCACTAAGCGCGATTGTTCCCTCTAATCGACGTGGAAATTTCGCTCTGTGGAGGCAGGGTAATCGAGGGTTTCGGTGCCGACTGTGGATCGTCGCATTTGCTGTGGAATTCTAATTTTAAGTGATCGACTGTAACTTGATTTTTTTTTGTCCCTGAAATTTTTGTTAGATTCATTGATTACAAGCCAACGTCGCTGGAGAGAACGCACTTGTGGGACATGTTGACGGAGCATGATCTCGGGATTCCGATTGATTTAATTGATCAATCCAAGTATGAGCCGGAAAACAGCCTGCATGATCCGGATGATGAAAAGCTTTTGGAAGATGATGGGCCCGTTTTACACGATTCTAAAAGGTTGATCATATCAGTTGTCAGACTTTACGTTTTGGGTTTTTGTGATGTCAGTTTTTCTCTGCGCTTCGGTTAGATCCCGGCAACATGCGCAAAATTATTCCTGGCTTCGTCGAACGGAATACATTTCCACGGAATTGACTCGATTCCAGCCGCAGACGATTGACAAAGCTGAGGCAAAAGTCGGCTTCAATGTCAAAAAGAAGTTTCAGGTTAGAAAAAAAAAATTCTGCCGTCGGATGTATCTCATTCATTTTCCCATTTCAGCAAGAGAAGAATTTGTACGCCGACAGAGATTCGCAGGTCAACAGCATAGAGAAGACTTTCGAAGACTCCAAAAAAGAAATTTTGAAGCACCCGTCGAAGCCTGGTGTCACAGCTGTTGAAGTTATGAACGTCTTACCAGATTTCGAGGTGAGTGTGAGGAATATTTCGAAGAGTTTCTAGACATGGCTCCTCGGGAAACTAGGAATTCTCTTCCTGAAGTAGAAAATATGTTTTATTGAATGCGGTGAAAATCATGGAGCTCAAACTCAATGTATTTTTCTGCTTAGTTGTGGAAACATCCGTTTGCGCAAGTCATTTTCGACGCAGACCCCGCACCTCCCGAGGAGAGCACTGCCAGCCAGGAGGAGTTGATGTCGCAAGCAATGATTCGGTTTGTTGATTTATTAATTTTTTTTTAAACTTTGGAAAATACTTTCAGTACTTGAAGAAACAAAATAATGTGCATGTTATAACAAAAATAATCTCTGTGCAGGGGTGTGATGGACGAAGCTGGTGCTCAGTTCGTCGCTTATTTCCTTCCAACGCCGGAAACGTTGGAGAAGCGGCGTGAAGATTTCACCATGGAGCTTGCGTACGATCCGGAAGCGGAATATCATTACAAGATGGCCAGAGAATACAACTGGCAGGTCAAGAACAAAACGATGAGCAACTACGAGGAAACGTTCTTCTTCGTTTTCCGCGAAGGTGCTTGCACTTACAATGAAGTGGAAACTCGGTAAGGAAACTTATTGCTTTTAAACTACTCTGTCTTCACGCATACAGTACATAACTGTATGTAGTATTTTTCTGGCTATTTCACGTCAACACCCGACTCCGCGTTTTTCTCCGCTGTTACATAGGTATTTTCAGAATCGCGAAGTTTTGTTGAGCTTGTATGAGTTGGGTTACTTCGAAAAAAGCGGCTTACATTTGGCCAAGAAAGATATTTTCATTGTTGAGATTTTGTTGAATTTGTTCCTGCAATTTATTCTTCAGAGATGGAAGGAAACATATTATTCTGGTAATGTACCACAAGAGTTTTACTGATTCAAGTTCTGCATTTATTGAGCGATAATTTACGAAGATGAGAAGAGAAATCTAAATTATTCGCGGTTGCAAATATTGTTGGGCGCTTAGACCAGCCGGTGATTGAGGCGACAACTGCCTATCGCGGTGACTTAGGAGTTGTAAGAGAAAAATTTGTTTTTAATTTCTCTGATCATTTAATTTTTAATTGAGAAATCGACGACGTGCATTCGATAATTCAACAAAATTCCTCTGTTCTAAAGTAAAATTTCCGTTTTAAAAAATTCTCCCCCGCAGAGTCAAGCTTATTCGTCGAAGAATGAACACGATGTCAAAGGTGTCGACACGACTGGTAGTGAAACACAGACCGATGAATTCCCAAGAGCACAAAGCGCAAAGGGTTCGCGAAAGGCTCCTTGAGAACCGCACGGACGAGAATCCGGAATCTGAGGAAGAAGAAGAGGAGGAGGAAGAAGAGGAAGCAGAAGCGGAAGGAGCGAAAGAAAGCGGCGGAGAAGAGGAGAAGAAGGAAGAAGCAGAGGACGCAGGAGAAAAGCAGGGCAGTGGTGGGGAGAAAAGTGGATCGTCTTCGTCGTCGTCATCGTCGGCCTCTTCATCCAGCGACGAGGATAGTGATAAAGGAAGTGCTTCAGGATCTGAAAAGGAAGATGGCGATGAAGAACAGAAGACCGAAAATCCTTCCGAGTCCCCCAAGAAATCCGACGACAAGTCCGACGAAGAAAATGCAGTGGAGGAAAAGAAGGATTCAGAGAAGGGTTCAGAGAAGGGTTCAGAGAAGGGTTCAGAGAAGGGTTCAGAGAAGGGTTCAGAGAAAGGTTCAGAGAAGGGTTCAGAGAAGGGTTCAGAGAAGGGGTCAGGGGACGAGGCGAAGGAGGGTTCGAGTTCGAGTGAAAGCGGATCCTCCTCTTCATCATCTTCGTCCGATGGCGAAGGCGACGATTAAAAACATTCTGCGATCTTTAATTTTGTTCTAAAATCTGCGTTTCATTTCATGCTCTTACTTGAGCAATCAAATTCATGTGTATGAAGTAGTGTTGATGGTAGGTTTTAGAATTTTTTTCAGTGCTTAGAATGGGAAGATTTTCCATAACTTTCAAAAACCATTTCCATAATTGTTTTTAAATCTGTGGGAGTAACTTTATCTGGACTCATTTTGAATGAAGATGATGGGGAGATCTGGTTCTTCAGATCTTCGGCCAGCAGTTCCAGTATTGTATTTCAATGGACCCGCTATCCATGAAGTGGCTGTGAAATGGAACATATTCAAAAGATGAGATTATTTTGAAGAAGAACTACGAACTTCATAAGAGATCTTGGGCTTTTTCTGTCCTTATTGCTGGAAATGTGTCATGAAGTGGAGAGACGGAAAGAAAACATAGGTTATTATTACCATAAAAATTAGGAGTAAGGCCCAGAAACAGTTAAAATTTAATGCAGACTTTAAATGTAATGTTTGATGAAGAATTGTGAAGGAAACCTTTTCATTGTGTTTAGGGATGGAGAGGAATACTGGCATTAGCTCGAAAAATTAATCAGATAAGGGCATTTCAGCTGGAGAAATTTCTCACCTGCACTTGAAGGTTCCATACTGAAACCGGCACAGCAAAGTTCACCTACCCTCCAAACGTCTGTATGCACGCTTCATCCTGTTCCCTTCACACTTTCCAGGACAGTATTCTTGAACCCAAAACTCCTCTGCCTATTCCTTCCAACGCTGTTCTATTGGGTGAGTCCGGGTTGGGTCCGTGAGAACCGCCGCACCTGGTGAGCCTTTGCAATGCGAGGGTGCTTTGGGTGTCCACTTGCCGGCTCATGGAGCGGTTGCCAATGAAACAGCGATTCTGACGCAATATGTGTGAAACGGATTGATTGAACTTGTGCTTCGTCGTGAGGAAAAAGAATTACTGGTCGAATCATTCCACAACAAAATTCATGGGACCCGAAGAGACTTCGTTGTAGAGAAGCCCAATTATAAAATTGAAAGATAATCCTATGAGATCAAACTTACAGAGAAAAGACGGAGACATTGTTACACAGAGAAAGTTGTAGGCAAGATTGCTGCCTAGCCTGATTTATGAAGGTTAATTTAAATTTTTTCCTGGATAATTACTGTAATTACTTCATTAATGTACTGCTACTATGCACCCTCAAGTGAGATTCACAGGATTTTCTAGTCCAAAATTTTGGTAAAATTCTATCCCTGAGTAAGACTTACACCCCAAGTTTAGGAACTCAAAAACCGCAGTATTTCAAAAGTGCAATCACTCAAATCTTAATTCAGACATGAATTGGAATAATTTTAAATTGTTTGCATTAAAAATTTAGTTTCTCTGTGAAACCTAGTCTAGGATTTCCATTAGAATCAAGTATAATGCACTTTTAAACTTGGAAAACTTTTTAGAGGATGGATACCTGCTTATGACATGTACCCCTTTTTTTGAGCTGGAGAAGAAAGGTGCACAAGGTACGTAAGCAAGTGCACTAGTTGATGAGCTTATTTTTTGAATGCCCAAATTTAATTTTCCTCTGTATGCCCCACTTGGATGTGTGATACCGAATAATCAATCAGTCAAGCCAAGAATAGCATCCTTCACAACAGCATCTTCTGAAATTCAAATAGCAAGTCATATGCAAAAAAATTCCAGGAGAATGACTGGACAGCTGTATTCTTCCTTTGCATCATCAGTGCCTCAATAATTGCCAGACATGCAAATCATCAAAAATTTCTGCTGGCATTTAATCCCACGAATATCAACCAGAAACATTATTTCCATCATTATTCAAATTCGCGAGATTCAAAAATGAAGCCTGTTGATGCGTTTAACTACCATTTGTACAGTTTGACCCAGATGGGCTGTCATGTGGCGGGCTACCCATATGTGTGTGTGATGGTGCTTCCTGCTGCATGCCGTTTTGTGCCGAGCAAAAACGGGGTTGGGGTGGAGATAATGGAAGAAAGCCCACGTTCTCGTTTTATCATCCGTATTCGATTATCCCCTGTCCCCCGCACTTGGGGGGGAAGTGGGGAAGTTTCCTATTGAGGCAAGATGCGGTACACTATTGTACTGTAACTCCCTGGTGTTGAATTATAACCCCTCTGCGGCCGGTACAGTATGTTCTGCGCATACAGTACTGTATATATGTTCAAGGATATTGACTCAAATGATGAGGACTTCGAATTTGCATTGGAGCTTTAATTGTCCGGAGTAATGACCGGCTATGATCTCGTTTCCCACAGGCATTGGAGCAAAAATCGCTGTTTTATTTCTGATAACCTGATGCGGTTCCGATCAACATCGTTAGATATTTTGGTCATGTAGATGAAACATCAAAAAGAATTCCCGTGATTACTTGAAAAATATTACTTGAGGAAATTTGTGAACAACCCAATACAATCCATCAGGTGATTCAAGTTTATAACATGTTTCATCTAGAGGGAGATCGTTGTACAAACGGGGTTATTTTCATTATCAGTATCTATCGTAATACAGGGCATATTCATTCGTCATGAAAATTATTGCAGCATTTTAAATTCTAATGTTGACCCGAGTATAAAATCGGGAAGATTCGAAGTCGTATTTTGTTGATTTCATTTTTTTATGATTTTAAATCCATTTTGTAAAAGAGCAAATTTGATTGCCAGAAGGAAATTTGCGAACAACCCAATATACAATTCATCAGCATATCCATATCCATTTTGCTCAGTATCCCCGTCGCTTGCAAAAGTCATTATCACGTGAAGGAAAATAAAATGAAGGAATCACTTTCAATACTTCAGTAAACTACGACTTGAATAATGTTTGAATATTCCACACGCAGAATATATGGCCTGGTATTTCAAAACTCATGCCAAGTATATAATCAGCTAATAACTGATGCAGTAGCAAAACATTTGCTTTGCGTGATATGGAGTGTGATGAGCGAGGCCTCATAAAACAATACTGTACCTCACACAGTTTACTCCGCGTTCGCCACGTCTTTTGTTTTAACTTCAAAAATTATTGGTTGCGAAAATATTTAGAATTACAGTAATGTAACAACCACGTCTGAACCCCTCAACAATAAATTCTATCCATTCGATCCCACTTCAGATGAGATAAGGTAGACGCGGCGTTTTGTCCTAACAGCTTGTTTCAACAGCAACGCATCGCTTATCTCGGACAACTTTCAGAAGTAGAAAAAGTATCAAATAACCAAAAGAATTGTAACAATTATGACGGAAGCCCTTTATCTCAACAACTACACCATGCATTCCTTCTTTGCTCCCGGGATGTTAGCGACAGATGATGATAGATCGTCATCAGTGACGCGTCCAGGTGAGCATGCAAATGAATGAGGCGCGTGCGCTCGACAGCCTCGTTGTCGACCCCGTCGCCTGATTAATTCATCAGCAAGGACATCAAATACGCATCAAAGAACACGGGATAGGCAAGAGGAATTTAACGGCCAATTTGCTTCCTGTCGCTAAAAACTTGCACCTTCCTTGCCCGTCTCTCTCGCAAGGGTGGCGCGAAAAAAAAAATAAAGAAAAAGCCCAACACCTGTTCTGAATACTACGTTTACTCGCAGAAAGTTATGGGTCACTTGCGTGCATTAGAGGCCACGAATATATATTGAGTAGAGCTTTTAGGCGAAAAAATGGTTTATACAGCAAATACATCGGATATGCAGCGAATTGCAGCCTATGCATAAATACTGTAGATGAAATCCTGTAACCTATAAAAAAATCCAGATTTTTCAGAAACGTGTATAATTTAAAGCTTGAGAAAGTTTTGTTTCATTCTGTGCATGGTAAGGGGCTGTGTTTATCTGAGTGTATTTTTTAATTGTTTCCATGAAAACAACCCATCAGAGTATGTACAGTGAGACCCTGAGATGTGGATGTAATTGGTGCATCAAGAGTGTCCCCAAGTTGAAATGTCCCTAAGTTGAGTCTTGTTTTCCCATAGACCAGTGGTGCCCAACTCAAAAGTGGCCAAGGGCCACATTGAAGGAGAAGAGCATTATGCGGGCCACAATGGGAAAAAGGAAGAAATGTTGTCCAGTACATTGTATAATTCATGAATTTCTGGGATGGTTTAACTTTAAACTATTCTAATTTATTAGCAATCAAGT